ACAAAATATTAATCACCTGCCCAAAATCCCTAAAGCGACCTTTTAACTTCTGTATTTGAAAGATACTTTTAATGCAAGCCAAGTGCAGGAACTTTGAGTCAAAAATAGCACTAAATATTAAGGAAGAGCCCTCTATAACTTTCCCAGCGGTGACCTCTGTAAACAGCAGCGCTCTGCTTGCACAGGCTGTCACCTTGCGCGTCCCCAGGGTACATTATGCCTCGTCTCTTTAGTACAGTGACTGTAATTATAGATCTGGCTGGAGCAGATCCATATTCCCTTTGCACAAATTGATACTAACATTGAGTGACTGAGATTTAATGCAAACTGTTTGACGGCGGAGTAAAAACATTGCGAGGCTGCGGCGGCGGCAGTCGTTCGCGGTCTCTTGCTTTGATACCTGCATCACAGGTATGGCGACAGAGCAGGAACCTGCACAAAGCTCGGGAGCGTAATGCCAAAATATTTGCGGCTATATGTTTGCTTTTCTTCCTCCTTCTTAAGTAAGCTTAAACAGTTTTGGTAGCTAATATCGTTACAGACGATTTTTATGGAGATCTTAGAGATGGAGCAGTCTGATACGCCTCCGGTGTGTTTTCCCGAGCTCGTAGCGCTCCGCGCTTGCTGCAGGTGGTCTCGGTTTTAGAAAGTAGCAAAGAAAAAAGAGGAAAAAAATATGTTATGCCGCAGGCCGGGGCCGCCGGGTCGGCCGGCATGCGCGGCCGCGGAGGAGGAGGAGGAGAAAGAGGAGGAGGAGGAGGAAGGGCGAGCTGCCTTCCCGGAGCCCGTCGGTGCCCGGGGCCGCTTCCCGCGTCTGTGCGTCTGTCGGGACCGTTCGGGGCAGTGAAGAGACAGATTTTTGGTAGAAATACCCGCTCAAAATTCAGTTTTCACAAATACTTTTATAACTGGGTCGAGTTCGTTATTTCTGGGAATAATCTTCACACTAAAAACGTTGACTGAAATCTCTGTGCGGCGTAACGTTCCTGCAGCTCTGCAAAAGAGACTTAGCTGGTTCCAATGACTACCAAGAAAGCTGGGACATTTGCTGAATCCAAGCACAGTTGCCGAAACATTAACGCCAAATGCTTTTCGTTCAGCTGCAGAGACGCTGCATGTTGGTGGTGGCAGAGCCGAGATTTGAATTTGAGTACTGTGAATTGTGGATAGTACTGAAAAACATGAGATCATCTTCTCTCCCCTGACATGATAAATAATCAATATATTTATTTTGAGGAGAAAATGGATATAATCCCCTGTAGGGAGGTAGAGCCTTTATGAATAACTTTTGTATACACATTTGTTTGTTCTTCCTCTTGTTGGAAAGTATTTCAGGAATGTCTTTCTGTTTCTTTCTTTTTTTTTTAATCAAGCATTAATGTAAGACTAGGAATATATTTTTCTTGACCTGAAAACAGCAAAACGAACTCTGAAAAAGTTTTGTCTGGGGCTCTGGCTGCTGTAGGCTATAGCAGCAGGCATTTTGTGCTGTTGTTCACCTGCTGCCATTGTGCTTTAGAGGCCGAGACAGCTGCTCGCGCGGCGACGTGGAAACCCCCTGGACACGCTGCTGCGTGGGAGATGCAGCGCAGCTTCAGCCCGAGCGGCCTGCGCTCCACATGCACATGCTTCCCTCTTCTGTAAGAGGCAGGGGGGGATTTTCTGTTTTATGAAATCAGGCATTACGCTGTTACATTTCATAGTAAAGAACCTGCAGGTTGGTCATAAAATTAGGGTTTTCATTGCTTGGACATCCTGTCAGGACCAGTGGAAAGCTTCTGATAGAGCCTTTTTAGTAGAAATAAAAAAAGAAATCTCTTTCCTTGGTCACCTTGGTGCCTGGGGATTTGAGAGCAGCCCAGAGCACAGGTCTGCGTGTGAGCTGGCGAGGCTCCTGGTGCCCCGTGGTCCCAGGCACGGGGTGCTCAGTGCGAGCGAGGTGGGACCCTGCAAGCTCCGGGAGCAGGGAGAGCCGGGATCCTCTGCACCCTGCTTGGCAGGCAAATGTTTTGGCTGCAGCGTTTTACAATTTGGACTACTGACGGAGCAGTACATAGCCAGCATACGCTTGTGCTTGTTTCTAAGCAAGCATAGGCATTGCCGGGCTGGAGGGAGACTGAACTCCTTTGACTTCTCTTTGAGGCAGCAGGATTTGGCCGCTGCTTTCTCCTGCACGTTTGTGACTTCTTTAAATTTCCATCCAAGGGTTTTCAGCTGCTCCGGCGTGGCAATGCTAGCGTTTCTGCTGAGGAATGTGGACCTGTTTGGCTGGATGCTGGACACACACACAGATGGAAAGCTATGTCTCAGAGTGCTCCGAGCCCACATTTAGAAATACTGCAAGAAGTAGCTGTCACAGCTAAAGAATGCAGCAGAGGAGGGAGATTAAGAACAAGGTTCTTAGATCCACTTGCGACCACACATAAGTTCCAGGTTTTGAAGCAAAATCATCCTTCGGGTTTCGCATGCAGGGTTGCGGGTGGGATCTCAGGCGTTTTTCACACGGGCCAGCCCTGCTGCAACTTGGTGCTGGCAGTAACAGGAGCGTTGCTATTTCTCCTTAGTTTCAGTGTGGATAAGAATTCAGTTGTAAGAAATGCCACATTAAGCCAAATGTGCCAAAAAAAAAAACCCTGAAATAATGATATTCACAGTAGATTAGATAAACATCATTTCCTGTGATGAGAAAGGTAATAAATGAGGTCATCCTATAAAACACCTGGGGCTGTGAAGACATGTCTTTTATAAGACTGTCCACAAAGTGTGGAGGGAGGTGTTTGGACTCCAGTCAGATATACTGTGCTGAGCTTTGGATATCTTTCCAAGCTCTGCTGGCAGAGCCCTTGTGGCTTTCTGCAGCTTTATCTGCCGAGGTAGTTTGCCTGAGTGGGAAAAGGGGCTAACCGGGAACAAGCTGTATCTTGACTGGAGGGGTTTGCTGCCATAGCTTTGCTAGCAAAGTCTTTAAAGTTTAGACCAGCCCTTGCACACACCATGAACTACAGCGTTCATCAAAACAGTCACACCTCCAGATATATGCACTTCTCTCTTGCATACACACTTACGTGTATGCTGTAAGAACACCTACTAATCAAACAGAAAAACTTAAAAGAAAGTTTTTACTCTGAACTGCATCCAGATCACCATTCCTCCATTAAAATTATATTTTTAATGTCCTATAATTGCATCAGGATAAAACCAGGTGTGTGTTCATGTGAGATAACACACTCGGGTACCAGTGAAGGCACTAGGCTTTGTCTCAACCTTCCTGGTGCCTCCCAGGCATATGTTATCTCCAAGTTTCATGTACCTTGTCATGACTTACTATTTAATTAAATGTTTTTAAATGAATTTTTTTTCTTTGTTAGAAGTAAAGACTCGTTCTTACAGGGTAGGTAAAAAAAGCCAGCTTGGGTTGCTTTTTGGCATGTGGCTTGTGAGTCAAACCAACACTGTTTCTTCTCCAAGAGGTGGACTCCAGATGAGATTTTTCCATGGGACGGTGCCGCGCAAGCCACCAGCAGGCATGCTGGGCTGCCTGTGGAAGAGCTCGTCCTCTGTGCCTTATTTTCTGGGGCTATGAGTTGCTGAAGACGTTGCTCTAGGGTGGACAGGATTGCAGCCAGTCGTGTGTACTTGTGGGAGAAGGGGAGACCGAGTGCTGGGTCATCAGGTGCTGGCTGTCCCCGACTGTCTGCATTGCCCCGTGTGCTTGTGCCATAATTTGGAGAACTGTGTGAAAGTATGGAAGCTCCTGGGGAAAAGCACAGCACGTGCAAGCATGTAGGGTGGAACAGAAGAGAAACGCTGTCTAAGCAGGTAAAAGATGTAGGAAGAAGTGGTGGTAGAAAAGGGATGGGAATATTCCTGAAAGGACTGGGACTGTTGAGAGAGGAAGCAATTAGGGGAAGATGTGGAAAATAAAGAATGCTTCTCCGCTGGCTCGGGATGAGTGCTGAGCAAGCCCTGGCCTTGCTTTCACTCCCAGCTTCTCTTCCGACTCCCATTTCCTGTGGCTGTGAGTCACAGCGGCAGGAGGGACAGGCAGCAGGTCACGCGCGAACTGTTCGCTGGGAACGTGGAGAGGGAGGCGGTTAGTCACGGACTGCTTCCCACTTCGCTGGAGATACTCGGTGACGCTGGAAGCGGACAAATCTCAAAGTGGTTAAAGGCTTTAGGCACGTTTTATACACTGCACAATCAGCCTGCAGGACTCGCTGCCACTAGATAGCACTGAGTTAAAGAACTGGTCTGGTTTCTGGAAGGAGAGGGGGCAGGAAGATCCTGAGTTACATTAGGTTGCGTAGAAACAGAGAGCTATAAATGTCCTGTCCTTGGAACATGCTCTATTGCTGCCCGCCTGTGGGTAGGGGGAAACTCCCGCCATAGGCACTTCATTTTCTTGTGAGATTTCTTATGCTTGCTGCTGAAGCTGCTCGTACCGGTCGCTGGCCAAGATAGCAGCCTGCCAAGGGGCCAGGCTCACCCAGGCTGGCCATTCCTGTGGTCCCGTTCATACCAAACACCCCAACTGCTGCAGTCCTGCCTTTTCCACTCCACTCACGCTGCAGATCCAGTTCTCATGTTCCAGTTTCCCTGTGCATATTGCACCTTTTGCATACGCCCTGAGGCGAAGAGCAGGGAAGCTTTCCCTCCACCCTGCCTCTCCAGCAGGTCTCTGCCGTTGCCTGGTCCCAGCAGGACAAGCAGGGAGGCAGGCGAAGAGCCCCCAGCATCTGATTTGGCTCCTGTGTCAGAAAGCCCTGCTCTGCAGCGAGCTGGGCTGAGCTCTCCCGGGTTGGGCTCATCCCTTTGCCTTGAGCGTTCGTTTCCCTAGTCATGGCGCATGTTGGTATAAACACCGCCTGCTTGCTACGTGCTCCGGAAAGCCACCGCCCAGCTGGCGCTTATCAGTGTATAGCTCCGGCCGCGGGGAATCTCCCCGCGCCAAGCGTCACTGCGCCGTGCCAGCTTGGCTGTGCTTCACCTTGACTTGCCGCATGACCCAGCCCTATTTACTGAGCACCGGGCCAAAACAAATGCTGCGTTTTTGGGGGCCGGTGGATCGGTGGCGCTGCCGAGTGGAGGGGGTAACGGCCTCCGTGGCGTGCCGGGCCCAGGTGAGGGGTCACCCTGGGCTCCGGCTTGTGACGCCGGCTGCCTTTATCCTCAGATCATCCCTGTGAAGCGAGGCGGTGCTAAAATATCTCCTTTGCAGACGGTGAGCTGAGCAGAGAGGGCCTGGCAGCAGGCAAAGGCGAGGTGGTCGCTGCTTGCGGCAGGAGCGTGTCTCCGAGGCCAGGGCCACGTGGGGCTGGCTGGCCACCTCTTCCCATGTGGCCGCTGACACATGGCAACTTGTTTGTGTGCTCCAGCCCAGGGACTTGCCTGGGGTCATACGGAGTCTGTGGTAGAGCAGAGCCAAAGTTAGACCATTCCTCCCTGTTATTTGCCTGTTTAGTAATAGTCCAAGATACATGATCTCAGAAAAAAAAATGTGTGCAAGTTATCTTAATTATTTAAAGAGCCTAAATGAGGTTCTCTGAAGTCCCAGACTAGTGCCCTAACCACTAAACCATCCCACCCTTTCCTGTGTGATCCTCGTGAATTACTCATTCTTGCTGTCCTTCTATTTGTTTGTTTATTTTAATTCTTAATGGAGACAGTACTTAGCAAATATGGATATAATGCTCGGAGCTGCTAAATGCTCAGCCGTCGTCTCTCTGTGTCCTGTACCATACCCAGCTCTGCTATGTCAGGGCATCGTCCTTGGTTTAAAAAGAGGTTGTGTTGTGGCTTAGGCAGAGAAGCACAAGGGAGTGAGAAAGAAGTGCGAGAAATGAGCCCAGATGACCCATTGCAATTAAATATCCCAGAACATGGTGTGCCCAAGCGCCAGGCGGTTCAGGAGTGAGGGCTCCAGGGCTGGATGTAGGAAGCTGTGGAGCGGGTTCATCTCTGTAGCATGAAAAAGTCTCCCAACTTCCCCAGCGTCCGCGGTGCGTGCTTGGGATTCCAGCCGGGGTTGAGTTTCCCCACCCTCTATCTCAGGTATTTATCTAGCATCAGTCACTGAAGTACCGAGGCGCCACGGAGCAAGGGATCAGGTCAGGCCTTATTCCTTCCGGACTGGTTGGGCAGGTCCGGGCTGAGGGAGCAGTGTCTCCGAGCAAGGCGCCTGCGTGGAGACGGCGCTTCCTGAGAGCTTCCTCACTTGTGTGCTCCATTGCCTGGGACCTGCCTGTCCTCCAGGCTCTCACGGGCACAGGGCTCACCCCAAGACAGCAGTAAGCCCAGGGCTTCAGGCCATGGCCCCGCTCTGTCCCAGCCAGCGTGCCCGACCCACGGGCAGGGCAGCAAGCTGATGCGCCGCGATCCCCCTGCTAAACTGTCTGGGCTGGACGGAGACTGAGTGCAGAGGTTCTGATGAGACCTCAAGGAAAACGTAAGGAAAAAGCATGGCTTTAGTCTTGTGTTTGATGTACTGTTAGCAGGAGATCCTGCCTGTATTTGACCAAAGGCATTCAGGACTGCTTCTAGCTTGCAGACCACAGTTCGAGCAAAAGATCCAAGTTAGCAGGAGACTAGAACAATTATTAAAGTGATAACATAAGAGAGTTTGTAGATGCTGTAAGAGCTGTAGTTACAGTAACCCACGTAAGGATGGGGGCCTTTCTGGGTAGCTGGCTGGATTCCTCCTGACACTATTTCTGTGCCTGGTCAGAATTATTTTCCTTGTAAAAAAGATGCTGATGCTGGTCCTTCCATGAGGTTTGCCTTTGGTACCTTTGCGGGTATTGTTCTAGTGCAGAGAGGGCTTTCCAACGTGCACGTTTCCATGCTGCATGTCCTGCAGCCTGGTCCAGGATGCACGTTCCTTGTTGAAGCATGGTATTGACTGAACTGCAAAACGTCTGGTATGCCCTGACATCTTGCCAAAACATAGGCCTTAAAAAGCCAGGACATCTTTTGAGAAAGAAAAAGTAAAAGCATTTTCACTGTGATAGTACTGGGCAAGTGGTGTCTTTCCCCCAGAGCTATCCCCAGGCGAGCCAGTGACTCCAAAATGGCAGGTGAACTGACATATTTACATTGCTGTGGTTTGAAACTCAAATTGAAACCCTCCCTAAATGGTCTGTGGATTGGCAGCAAGTTCTATATGAAGAGAAGTATTTTGTTATTATTATTCATGTCTAATCTTTGCTGAAGGGTCTTTTGCCCTTCAATAATCTAAATACATTTTAACAAATTGATACTAACATTACCATGGCTTACATAGGATCCATAGCTGTTTCTAAAAGACACTGCATCTTTGTTCTCCCTTGTTAGATTATGTAGATCCAAGCCACACAAATTCAGGCGCTTCTATAGGGAATACAGGGAAAACCTCTCAAGCATGTTACTGTAAAATGGATTATACTGTTTAAACACATAAAGATCCCGTACACTGGTTGCCAAAATGTAATGGGAGTTTGTGCTGCTAAATGAATAAACCTGTGATGCTTAATGCTACAGGGCAGAATGGTGGAGTGTGTGCGAGTCTGGGAGAGTTTGCTGCTGCGTTACACATCTGAACCAGGCTGGCGGCGTGGCATTTGATGAGAAACTTTCCTTGTGATCAGCACCGAGCAAGGCAGATCTCCAGTTCTTCTTGTTTAAGTTCTAGGGCTCTCTAGCCTCCCATTTTATTTTCTTGCCTTCCCAATACCTGCATATTTTCTGTGCTGTGAAACACACACATTCTGTACGAAAAGAGACAGAGCTACGTAGATCTATCCAGAGCAGATAATAACCGAACTGAATTTTAAATAGCTGTTGTTATTTTTCTAACATAGATGTGAAAGGGCTTAGCTGCAAATTCAGAAAACAAAAATACTGCAGTGAACTGTAACTTTTCAAATAGTTGTAAAGGTAAAAGTAAGAATTGCAGTACTACTTACTCACAGGAGAAGACAAATGAAGCATTGTTATCAGAGCAGTTCTTTCAATGAACAGTAGAAAAAAATGCAGTAAATATTTGTAAATACACCTTGACATTCAAAAGCAGATTTTTTTTTTTATTCATTGCTGTGAAAGTTTGGGTATTTGAGTTTCACTAGCTTAAAGGATATTTTAATTTTAAATATTTGCTGGTGTCCAGTGGGATATTCCTGGGTTTACCATTCAGGTTGCTACATCAGTTAGCCATTGAGGTACCCTAGATAGCATGACACAATTCATAAAATCAAGTAAAGCAGTGAAATTTGTGGAAATTCATAACAAATTATTTGCGAACGGCTTCCCCAAATTCACAAGAGACTCTGAACAACAAGCGCATTTGAGGATGAGTTATTCCTAAACTGCAAAGAAGGCAAATTCATTAGCTGAAATTATTAATTGCAAAGTGCTTTCTAATCTCCTTTCCAGTCCTAAGGAACACAAGGTGCTTTTGCAAAGGTCTGAGTAATTGTTGTTATTATTTTGATTGGCCATTCCTTTACAGACACAATGTAATAACCAAGTACTGTCTTTAACTGAGGCTACGTATCCTCCAGTCTCAGGAAAACTGAACTTTGATACCTTTACAATCTTGCTTGAAACACCCCAGAAACAGGAAACTCCACAGTGAAATACTGCCAGTACTTCACTATGTATACCAGTGACACAGAAAGCAAAATGAAGTTAATATCACATGACATCTTAAAATTTTGTTCATAACCTAACGTATTGATTTGCATTGGAAGCAAAAAGTAAGTATAGGAGCTTTACATAGGCATGGGATCTCTCCTGATTAGTGTTCTCGTGGGAATAGTTTGAGGCTGCTGACTTGTATTCCTGCTACCTGTTTTCTTTCGAGGGTCCAAGATCCATTTGCCTATCAGAGCTCAGCAATCTGGAAAGCCCAGAGATAAAAACAAGATTCTTTCCATCCTTCCATTTGAAAAGGCCTTCAAGCCGATTACAGCATTTCCTAGAGAGGCTCTTTGACATGGGGACTTGATTCAGGTTGTGCATTCAAGATAAAGAAAATACCTGTATAATCCCCTCTGGGAAGAAAGGATAATTACAGACTGCGGGTTTGAAATATAGCTGATGGCACTGACCTCCTTCTCTGGACCATCAATAAATACCTCCCTGCTGAAACACCAGGAAATTGAAGAAGCTGAACTCTGCAGCACCTCCTCATTGAAAAAGAGCTTTTAAAGTTATGGTAGGAGCAGTTGCCTCTGGCTCACACCCACATGCAGATACTTCTTTATGTATGTATCTCTGTCTTATAATTTACATCAGAGACATTCAAACTAAGGTTAGATTAGTTCATTGAAGGCTCTCCCTGAAAGACAGCAGTAATCCTTTGCCTTTCTGAAGCACCTTTCATCAGATGCTACTCACAAACATTAATCAGCCGAAACTTCCCAACACCGTCTGCAGGGAGCAAGGTAGAGAGAGCAGAAGTAGCACGCCTGCTTTGTTGCAAGGAGTGAAATACAGGAACAGGCCTGGGCTCTAGTCCCTAGTCGCTGGTGCCTGCACGCAAGGGGCTCTAGGCATGGCTTGCTGCAGCCACGCCGAGTTCTGCAACGCTCCGTGGGAGCGGGATGTCGGCAGCTGCCATGGGGAGCGACAGGAATAGGCTTGCACAGCACAGATGTGCTTTTTAGCCGCTGAGCAGAGCAGTAGGACATGGGCCTCCCTCGCACTTTATTTGGGCTGCCATGAACCTGCAGCGACGCCAGACCCAGCAGAGCTGACTGCTGTGTAGCCACTGAGAGAGCGATCACGCCCAGCATGTCTAAGGTGCTTTTGGGGTAGCTGGAGACTGCTATGTCTAAAGATGAGAAATTGCTTTATAATAGGTGGTCTCCTAAGAGGATTAGCTGATACCTCTTTAAAATGCAATCTAAGCTTTAGCACACTCTGACTTCTAAAAGAGATGTTGCAACAAAAGCTTCAATATCCAGGGATTCGATGCTGCTGAGATGGAGGATTTACCTGTAATGTATCTAAGGAAAGAAGAAAACAGACTTGTAAGACGGGCAACAATTTGCATGTTCCCTCTGGACTTGTTTTTCCCCTCACAGCACCCCGAGCTTCTGCTGGAAATGAAACTGAACAAATAATAACATGATAAGCAATTTAA